CTTGTCAGGTTAAGTTTTTTTTTTTTGTTTTCGTTTTGTTTTTGTTTTTGCTTTTCGTATGCTTTAAGTATCGAACGCTCTTGCTTTACTAAAACGCCTTTTTTTTTTACTTTTCCTTTTCTTCGAACGCAACCACCCCCTTTTCCTTACGTGTCCTTCCTTCTCCGCTCTCCCTCTTACTGGTGCCAACGGCCTCCGCTCCGGCCCGTCCGCTGGTGCAGTCCGTTTTTCTCCGCAGAGAGGGCGAGAGAGCGAGAAGGAAGGGAGAGGAGGAGAAATGAGAGGAGAGGCGGCAGACAATCATCGCCGGCCATCGTCTGAGACTAACTTCCGACGTACGCCTGTGTGTGCGTGTGCACTTTTTTTTTTACTCCGGTCTGGTCCCAATCCGCACCTTTACATGCTGCGGACGCACGGCGGCGGAATTGTTGAAGTGGCGGCTACTGCTGACATTATTGACGTCGATGCTGACATTATTGACGTCGATGCTGACACCCTTGAGCTCCTTTGCGGCAGGCAGGCTGAGACGCGAGTTCCTCGGCACCGGCGCGGGCATCGTCATCGAACGGGAGCGGAAGGAAATGCCGACGTCGACCTCTTCACTTTTAACACTGACCGGCGGCACCGCGGCGCCACTCATGACAACCGCGTTGCTGCCCCGCTCCACCCTGCCACCCACCTCCGCAGCGCCATCTTTAGCTCTCGCCGTACCACCGTTTGCGCCTTTGCGCGGACTAAAAACGAGGCTGGTACCCGGTGTGGCGCCGCAGCGCAACGGCGCAACAGGCGGAAGTGGGCCAAATGCTTTCTTCTGTCCCCCAAGACTACCGCTCCCGCTGCGGCTTATGCTACTCGCGCTCACCTGGCGCACAATGGGAAGCAGCAACTTCCCCCCCTGGTCGCTGCCGGCAGCGCACGGGTCTGCCCTCTTCGAGGCCGGCGCCTTGACAGGGACCGTTGTGACGAGGTCCTCGACGTAACTGTAGAACTCCGCGGCCGACACGTAGAGGTCTAGTTCAACGACGCGCATGAAACGCGACTCGAGAAAGTTCATCTCGGTGTTTCGCAAGCCACAGACGCGGGCAAAGCTCTTGTTACTAACTGTCCGTGCGTCCATGACCTTGCTGGCGACGCGCGTTGCGGCGGCGAACAACTTGAAGACGTTATGGTTCGTGAGGAGCAGGGACGCCCTGCGGGTGAGGAGACGGTCGAGGTAAATGCAGGCAACCAACAACACAGACGGTGACACGAAGGTGTATTCCACGATTCGATGCATGTATTCCGGAAAGGTGATAGCCGGCACGCCGTTCGTCTCGAAGCAAGTGAAGCAGTCCTGCGTTGCCTCGGCGTCAGCTGCGGGCGCCTCCGCGTGCGTGGATCCCTCCGCGGCAGCCTCGACATTCGTTTGCGCGGAAAGCAGGGTTTTTGTTGTCAGCTCCACCCCCGAGCCCCGCTGCTCGCGCGCACTCAACCGCTGCTGCCACTTTGCATGTGCGGCGATGACGCTCTCGACGGCCGAGCTGATCGCGGGGACGAGAAACTCGTACTCCACGGCGTGCTTCGCGTGCAGGGACTCCGCCTCGCCGAGGAGGCCGGTGCGGCAGTAGCGCGGCGGCTCTGCCACCGACGGGGAAAGGACAAATAGCTTCAGACGGCGGGGCTCCTCGGAGGCGAGTAGGGCGGCGCAGCTCACGCGGCTCACGTCGTCATGCTCAACCGACACGCTGGACTGCGAGAGACCCTGCTGCGACGAGGATGACTGGAGGTCGAAGAGGCTGCAATTCAGCGCATGTCGCTTGAACAACCTCTGCATAGCGACCTGGTGTGCCGGCCGGAAAAAGTCACCAATGAGCGGCTTCGCCGCGTCGAGCACTTCCAGGCTCAGAAAGTTCACCAGCCCTTCAGACCCCGCTCCTCCCTCCATTTTTTTTTCTTGCGACTGCCTCAAATGCCTTTGTAGGCAATTTTTTTCCTCCTCCGCTCGTTTCCTTCCGTTTTTCCGTACCGCGTCGCAGGGTGAACAGACACACACGGAGTGATTGGGGAAGGACAGAAAGACGAAGTAGAACAGAAGAAAAACGGCGGTGGAGGGACGACGTGAGTTCAAGCAGGCAAACAAGAGGACAGCGGGGCGGCGGCAACAAGGGCACACCACCACAGCAAGATGTAAATGACTCCGGCACACGCGTGTACGCGCGGCCAATTCTGCGCCCCAGAGATGGGGAGCACCGAAAAAGCAACGTGCCTTGCAGGGCACTGCAACGAGGTAGAGGAGGAGGAGGCGTGAAAGAGGGTGCACTGGAGCTCCGCACGGGATAAGCATTCGTCGTGTGCGGGACCCACCACGGCCTTCGTTTAGTGCGATTCCGTGGCATCCAACCGCCGCAGAAGTGTTGTGGCCGCCTCCCGGCAATGCGGCTCCGGCCCCGCTTTTAATGCTCGCAACGTATGGGCCAGTGTGGCGCGTCCCACCTCGACTGCAGTGGCTGAGGTTTGACTGCCGCCGCTGCTGCTTTCGTCAGGCAAAAAAAGCGTCATGACGGTTGCCACAAGGTCTCGCGTGTGTGGAGAGGAGATGGGCTCGAAAATGAGCCACTGCGCCAGCAGACGCACGACCCCCTGCGTGGCCTCCCGCGCCGCCTCGGCGCCAAGCACCACCGGGTCTCCCGCCAGAAACACCGCCGCGTTTTGCAACAGCGCACTGAGGGCCGTCTTCAAATTACTCTGCTTCGTCTGAAGCAGCGGCTGTGGCGCCTTCGTCAGCATTGCGAGGAGCAGCGCCGTCTCCTCCGCGTCCAGTTGCGCCCCGGTTGGGGCCTTGTCGAGCGCTGTGATCACGTGGGCAAAAAGGCGCGTCGTCACAAGGGCCTCCGCAGCGGGAACTTGACACAAATTTTGAACGCGGCCCTGAAAGAAGGCCTGTGCGTCGGGCGCACTCCCGCCGCAGTCGGCGGACAGGAGCAGCCGCAGCCAACCAAACGGGTGGGCGGCAGCCACGAGGAGGTGGCTGAGGAGGTCCAAGGCGGGGAACCGGGCGGCCTCGGGCAGTGCATAGTAGAGCGCCGTGACCTCGTCCAGCAGGGCGCGGTTTGGTTCTCCCGCCGCCGCCGCCGCCGCCCGCCCCACCAAGGCGCCCAGCTCCGAGTTGCCCGTCAACTCCTCGATCTTCTTCTTTGCCCCGGCGGCATTAAACGAGGTAAAGCGTTTGTAGCTGCTCCATCGCACAATACTGCGGTTTGTGTCGCCCGCCGTGGCTGGAGGTGCTCCCGCCAATCGGGCCGCTTCCTGCTGAAGTAGTATCCCCTCCCGTGCGTAGCCTGAAAAGGCGACGTCGTTTGCAGAGACGCCCGCCGTCTGCAGGGTGCGCAGCGCCTCACCCCAGCTTGGGGTGTGTGTGACACCGGCCTGCTGCAACGCAGCCGCCTCGCGGGCGTACTGAGAGAAAACCGGCTCACCACCACCACCAGCGGCAGCCGCAGGAGCCGCGTTGGCATTTCCCGTTCCCTGCTGGATGTCGCTTGGATCAACGTTGCTTAGAATAAAGTTCTGTATTTCTTCCTTGTGCGTTTGAGAGACGATGGTGCTATTTTCGTTGATGAAGTTCTGCGCGGCCTCAAAGATGCTCTGGCCTCTGTCGTAGGCAAGCTTGAGCATCTTCCCATCCACGTCCACATCAAAGATGTAGTCGTGCGGCACACCGTTCAGGTACTTCTTCTCTCGCGGCTGCGGCCCACCGGTGAAGGCCTCTCCCTGGGGCCCATGCACCACAGTCCCCACCTTTTCCCAGCGGCCACGGTTCCAGACGTGGAGCTCAATCGCGCCGGCCTCAGTGCGGGCAAAGCGGCGGTCGCCCTGTTGCGTGCCCCTGCAAAGGTGCAGATCCCCCACCGGCAGCGTCGAGGCCGCATTGAGACCGGCGTTAGTGGCAACCTTCACGTCGATCGTTTGAGCGGCGACCGCCGCCTCCAGTGAGTGTAACTTTTCCGGCGACGCCATCTGGTTCTCCTCCGCCGTCCACATGCGCACGACAGCGTCGGAACCGCCAGTCACGATCTCGCCCGCGTTTGTCACACAAACAGACCAAACCACGCATGGATGGCTGATACTCTGCACGACGACGGGCTCCGCCTGTGCGTCCGACGAGGCCACGTCCACCACCCCGCCCCGCCACACCTTCAAGGACCGGTCTTCCGAGGCGGAGAAGAGCAGCTGTCGCGCCGGACAGTAGCAGAGGGAGTAGACCAGGCTGTAGTGCGCCGTCAGGAGGCGGAGCGGGGTGTGCCCCATCGTGGTGTCCCAAATGATGATCGTGGCGTCGTTTCCCCCCGTGGCGAAGCGGGTTGCACCCATTGCACAGATGCACTGCACAACGTCGCTGTGGCCAACAAAGACGGCCAGCGTGGCCCCCGTCGCCAAATCCCAGTGGTGGATTGTCTTGTCGCCCGAGGCAGTGACCACGGTGCGTGTTCCTGGCAGCTGCGCAACGGCTCGCACCGCCGTCTTGTGCCCGGTGTAGCTTTGCTTCACGCCGCCGGTTGCGCAGTCAAAAACAACACACACGCCACCCCAATCTCCCGTCACGATGTCCCCGCAGTCCGGTAGCACAACGGCACCGCAGCAGACCCCATGCGCATGGCCGTCCAGCACCGCCTCCAGCGCTGCGGTCGCAGGGTTCCACAGCGCCACGTGCTTGTCGTTGCTGCCCGTGACAATGCAGGGTTCGCCGTCAAGGAGCGTCATGGAGGGGTGAAAGAGGGCAAAGTTCACGAATTCCGTGTGACCTGCCAACACAATACCGGGTTCGATGGTGTCCGAGGAAGGCTGGTCCGGGAGAATCATGGCGGTGTGGTCGCGCGACGCGGTGAGAAGCAGCCCGTCGGAAGACGACACATGCCGCACGTCGCTGGAGTGGACGCACCCCTCCGCGCGCAGCACAAAATAAACGTCGCCGCTCTCTGTCATGGGTTCACCAGGCCTGCCTCGGACAGCTTTCCTACCTGCACGCAGGCACTCACACGCCCCCTCTATTTTTTTCCTTTTCTTTTTCGTTCTTCTTCTTCTATCTCCCGCTCAAGACTCAGACGGATATTTTTGATGCCTTCTTTTTCGTTTTTTTCTGTTTTTCCCAACTGCTTGGAGTGACTGACCCTCTCGCTCTTGTGAGGGAGGGAGGGAGATGTGCGCAGGAGGTGCGAGGGGCAACGCAGCGGGCGACGACGACCGCGCCGGAAACGCACAAAAGTGGCACCCGACAGGCGAGGCGAAGTTTTCGAGGTTGGGCGGCGGCAAACGTCCGTGCAAGCACCCGGTCACACACGACGGCACCCACGCGTGGCCCTCCTCCGCAGCGCCGCAAGGACATGCAGAGTGGGTGACGCACCGCACACACACAAAGGGAGAGACAGACGGGCAACAAATAATAACAATAAGTGGGGAAAACAATAATAAAAAACGGGCGCCGCATTACGTCTGCAGCATCCTCAACAACTGAACGCCGTACCGCACCGCGTGGTACGACGTCCACCAGCAGGAACCCGAGACATCCACCCACGTGAGCTCCGGCGGCATGCTTGCCCCATCTTCCTCCTCCGCCAACGCTGTCTTCACCGACGCGTAGGCGGCGACGAACACCAGTTCGTCGTGGAGCGTCCAGCCACACGCAGGGCGTTCGCGTAGAGCCCACCGCATCAGCGCGAGGCGCAGCACCCAGACAGCCTCGTGTCCCTTGTCGTAGTGTCGCCGCAGCTCCTGCGCGGTCACTGAGAGCAGCCTCCCCCAAACGCGTGACGCCAGGAAACTGTGGCCCTCGCCAGTGCCGCTCCACCACGCTGTCGCCTGCTCAAGGAGAAATGCCAGGTACGCCGTGGCGGAGGAATCGCCGTTGTGTCTTTCGAAGAACTCCACCACGGCATCCAGCTCCTCCAGCAGCAAGGCCCTGGCGGCAGCTTCCGCGGCCCTGTCTCGTTGAAGGAGACACGCAAACAGTTGCCGTCGGTAGTTCCAGGCGTTGTAATTCATGGGGTGCCGATCCGCGGCCTCGAACAACACCGAGCGATCATGCGAGCAAAAGAGCTCCAGGTTGGCGCCGCCCAATGTTAGGAGCCGCTGCACCACCCACCAGCGGTGCACCCAAACCTCCTGCTTCTTGTAGTGGAAGCTGAGCAGAAGCGAGGTTAGTAGGTACTCCTGCAGCAGCAGGGAGCGAGCATCCCTCTGCCCCGTCGCAGCATTGGCGAGGGCGGCCTCCTGCAGCCCTCGCCGCCGCTCATTCCAGAGATCCGTGTGCGCGGGAAGCAGCAGCAGCAACGCCGGCAACACTCCCTCCGGCGACAGTCGCTTAACCAGGGGGCCGATAATCGGGAGCGGTCCGCCGCTCCCATTCGTCCGTGGCCCGGGAGGCTGTTGTAGCCGCCTCAGGAGCCCTATAAGCGACTCCGCCAGCATCGCACTATCAACACCCACAACCAACTCGAAAAGGCCCTCTTGCTGATGGATCAACTCGACCGTGCCCCAGCGAAACGGCAGTTCCGCCAGTGCGACGGGTGGAAGGAGCGCCAAGGAACACCGGACACGCCTTCCGGCGTGAAGCTGTCGCGCTGCCGCCTCAAGCGCCGCATGGAGCCGCTCAGCCACTTCGGTTATGACATCCGAAGACTGCATGCGTGCCCTGCAGCCTCGTTTTTTTCTCTTCTCCCCATTCAGTGTGTGTGTGTGTGCGTGTGTGTTAGAGATAGGAGGTCCATTGAAACAGAGTGACCAGCCATGTTACAGACAGACACACACTGCAGAAGTGCGGAAGTCACTGACGCAGATCGATGGAATGGAAGGATAGCTTGGCAAGAGGAGATCGTTATCAGTAAGTAGCAGAGGAGTGGGATGGGGAGGGGAGGGGAGGGGGAAGCATGCGCGCGTGATTGCGACCGAGCCTACAGATATATATATATATATATATGTGGGGATAAGTGCGATACCGCAGCAGTTCCACTTCATCGCCGCGACAGTACATCCCTGGCCTCATTAAGCTTCGTGGCGATGTATGGACTGCCACTCACGTCACTGTGCAAGTGTTTCATCAGCGCGTAGTAGCGCTCCTTTACCTGCTGGTCCGAGGGGCGGGCGCGAGTTCCATCGGCGACATCCTCCGGGAAGCCAAGCAGCAGCAAGGCCTCCCGCTCCGACATGGTGGCCGCAAAGCCAGACTCGTGACGGCGATACGACTGGTGCGCATGGAGGGCCTGCGTGGCCCCCATTCCGCCTTGCGCCATCGCGACTCGCTGCGAAACCCGGGGCGCCAGCCGCGTCACGTAGTACGCCCCCGCGAGCAGCAGCATCGCCGTCAGCGGGGCTGCCATGAATGCCCCTTCAGCCGTGGCACGCCGCGAAGAGCTACTATCAGCCAGAGCAGTGAATGGAAAAAGCAAGAGGAGATACCAGAAGAGAAGGGATGGTAATTCCGCTGCGGCAACGGCACGTCGCCCACCCACCCACCCACCCACGCACACACACTCACATAGCTTTCAAAACAAAAACAAAAAACGACGCATGGGTCACGTGGTCTTCAGAAGCACGCGAGGAAACTTCCTCTCCTTCCCATCGCTGCAAGAATGAAAATAACAATAGTAATAATAATAACCACATGTATTTGTACGCTCTATCGATCTATTGGTTTTTGGCTGTGGAGAGGTAACCGACCACCTCCTCCGGCTTCGCTCCCCACCCTCGACAAAACATCCCCAGCGCCGCCCCGGTTGTTGCTGCTGCCGCTGTCACTGCCGCTGCGAGAACCGGCAGCAACCTGCTCCCCCAGGGCAGATCCACGGCCCTGCGGCAAGACACCCACCCGCCGCTGTTGCTCCAAACCAGCACCACCAGCCGTGTGGCTTGCGGAAGCTCTCCGCTGCTGCCATTTCTCGTCGCGGAGGCGTTTCTCATAGAGACGACCGTCACGGAAGGCATTCCGCATCTGTTCTTCCACCTCCGACATGAGACTCTCCATGATGTGCTGTCGCTCATGCACCACCTGCTCATGGACCTGTTGAAGTTGCTGGCAGTGCTCCCTCGCCATCGCCTCTGTCCGCTGTTGCTCCTCGTGCAGCAAACCTTTCAACCGCTCCCGCTGCTGCTCTGCCGCGCGGCATCGTTCTCTCACCGCCTCCAACTCATGTCGCAACTGCCGCTCACCCGGAGGCTCCAGCCCCGTGGCGGCGGGCGGCAATGTGTCATCCCCCACATCTCCAAGCGGGCTGTTCTCCCCTACCCCGGTCGGCAGACCGGCGCCGTCGCTTGAGAAGCCAGGCACCTCCGCGTGGTATAGTTGCACGCTGGCCCGATGCAGTTGCGTCTCCGTGATCCACACTACCCCCGCATCGAAGGCGATGCAAATGGGCTCCATTAACATGTCGACCAGAAGTGAGAGCCTTTGAGCCGCTTCCTCCATCTGCAGCTCCTTTACGGCTCGGGCGCAGGCTTGCCGTGCCTCAGCCTGCCGCGGTGGGGCAACAACGACGTTGACGCCCTGGTAGCGATGGCCATCGTCCTGCAGCTCGTCAATCAACGACAGCCGGCGGTGCAGGGTGGTCTCCTCCAACCGCAGCTGCTCCACCTCAAGCTGGGCGGAGGACAGGGCGTTGCTCAGTCGCGTGTTCTCCGCCTCCAGTGTCGTCGCCCGGCTGTCTAAGCTGTCGACACGCTCCACCAGACGGTTGCGCTCCAGGCGCACTTCACGCAACTCCTCCTCCAGTGCACGGCTCCGCTCCTGCTCCACCTCACGTAAGAGGGCAACCTGCGCCAGGGAGCTCTCGAGACGGTCAATGTGTCCCTGGGCAAGAAAGGGGTCGAAGCGGGCCAACGCCTCATCGGACACCATCGCACGGGGTGCGTTTTGCAACAGCAGCTCTGCCCGCTGCAGCTGGCCGCTAAGGAACGATATATGTGAAAGGAGTTGCTTTCGATCGCAGTAGTCTGCCGCCGTGATAAGTGGGTGCTGCAACAACACAGCCTCATTATTGTCTCGTATGAGGGAGGGCGGGGCTGTGTGCCCCTCGGCGTTGCTAACAGCCGCGCTGACGGGACGCCTGGGCGGAAGCGTCGGTGGGAAGGCGCTTCCGGAAGCGGCGTGCCGCCAAGAACTATCCCCTCCGCACGTCTGCGGCACGGCCGTCATTCTTTTCTCTATTACCTTTCTTCTATGGTAGCTGATTTCCGATCTCTCTCTCTCTCTCTCGATTTTGCAATGCGGGAGTGTAGGCTGGGCAGGCCTGCGGTCCCTCCTCCTCACTCCTTTGCCTCGCCGCAGGAAGTGTGTGTGTATGTGTTTCTTTTTTGTCCCCCAATTTTTTTCTCACTTTTTTTTGTTTTTGCCCTCAACGCCAGCGAAAGCACGGCGTCCGGGCGCTGAGGGAAAGTGGCTCAGCAGCACCGGCTGGGGCGGGGGGAAGAGAAGACGTGAAGCGAGGCGCGGCAAGAAAAACAAACAGCTCCTGCCGCGAAAAGTGGCGGGGGGGCGGTCACCCACGCGTGAAGGAGGAGGCAAGAGAAGGAAGAAGAAGATAAATAAAAATAGAAAAAAAACTGTCCAACGCGTGGACGCATTGACCCACTTTGGCACAACGTTAAGAAACAACACTATATATATCTCTCTCTATGTATCTTCCTCCATCTCCTCTTTAGCAGCAATGGGGCAGTTGAGCAGCTTTTTTTCCAAGACGTGCCGTCTCTGCGCCACGGGAGTTCCCAGTACCTTTGACTTGACGACGTCCAACACGCGCGCAGCCGCGTCCTCCACGCCGGCGAAGCCCGGGAAGTAGTTGACATCCACGAGCACCGGGGCGGCAGAGCACAGCGGCGCCGCGGGGGCACCCGTGGCTCCATCAAAGAGAGGCGCGTCAAGCCACGCGGCGTTCGGCGACGTCTCCTGCGATGCGGCGGATGCCCCAGGCCAACTGCTGCCCTGCCGCGACCCGTGTTCCGGCGTCAGGAGGAGGTCAAACCCGAAGAGCGTCAACCCCAGCTCCTGCACCAAAACCTCGGCGATTTCCCTGCACTGAGTGTGGGCGCTTCCGCCCTCGGCGAGGTAGCTTCGCCAGCACGCCTCCTCCTTCTCCCAGCCGGTCTCCGTTGGAAATTTACTTTGCGAGTCCACGAACACGGGACCCCCCATTTCCGAGAGGACGCGGCGCAGCAGCGGCGTGGTTGAGACGGCCTTCACAAACACATGGCGGCCAATGCAGTACACCTTGATGACCACGGGGAGCGCGTGCGACAAAAACTCCTGCACCACAAAGGCACTGCCGCCGGCTGGAAGCAGACGCCGCACCTCCTCCGGCATGGCCGACACCGGCTGGACGCCCTTCCATATGACCATGTGGTGTGTGAAGGGAGGACCGGTGCTGAGGTCCGGCTTCGCTATCCACCACTTCTCCCTCGGGCGCTGGGCCGTGCCAGGCGGCGGCGTGGCCTCCCCGTCGCCCAACCCAGGCGAGGAAAAGCCGAGGGGCACCAGCGACGCACAGTCGCGTGTCCACAGCCACGAGCAGGGAATTCGGCAGAAGGGCCGTTTCAGGCGACTATCCAGCATCTTGTAGGTCAACGAGCGATGCAGGACGAGCCGCGTCGTTTCCATGGGGTCTACGAGGAGTACAGGCGGGAGGCGCCTGCGGCGTCGCCGCTGTGAGGCCGCGGCACACCACCGACGCAGAGCACCCACGGCACTGGGAGGCAGCGTGCTTACTTTGTGCAGCACCACATCCGCGTCCATTCCCGCCACCGTCGAGAACGTGTCTTGCCCCTCGTCGTAGTGCATTTCCAGAAACGAAAACGTGACGTGTGCGTTGCCGTCGCCGCCGCCTCCGCCTCTGCCTCTGCCGGTCTCCTCTACGTACCGCTGCAGCTTGTCGAAGGACTGCCGCTTCTTCTTCGCCGAGCCGCAGAGCGCGATAACCACATGCCTCTCGCCCGACCCCGCGGACATGTGCCAACCGCTCTCGCTCCTCCTCTGCCTCCTTTTGCGCCACACCACACCGGATGAAAAGAGGAGAATGAGCGAAGCAAACAGAAGGCATATATATATATAGGAGGTGTCCCTGCCCCTCACACGCATTGACGCACAGAGGGAGTCCAAGGGAGGGAATAACCCGCCTTCACGGCTCCACAGCAGCCCCAACACGCCCACCGAGAGCGAAATAGACACAGAGAGAAAAAGGCTCGCTTGTCTTCACATCTCACCGCACAACACAATTGTGGGCAGCAGCCGCGGCACCGTCGTCCCCCGCTTGGCGTGAAACACCGCCTTCGTCAGTTCCAGTAGCTGACGCTTCGCCACGGTGTGGGCTGCCGCGTCACGATGCACCATTCGCCCAATGAGAATGGCGTCGGTTGGCATCGTGGCATCCGCCCCCCGTTCCACCGTGTCGAGGCGAAACGACGACGCCACCTTCAACGTCGTCGCCGCGGCGGGGGCGCCAGGGACGTGATTCCAGTACTGCATGTAAACTCCCTGCGTGTGACGGCAGCGGTCGGGCGCGGTTGCCGCAAGGGCCTCCAGTTCACTCGGAGGCACAGGCAGCGGGCCTTGACGCTCGCCAAGGGCGGAGAAAAATCCACTTCCGCCACCGCCCATCACATCCCCGCCGATGACGTACTGGCCGACAAGGGCGTCGTGCAGCACCGTTCCCTTGTAGCCCGCCGGCTGCAGCCGCTGCTCCACGACGCGGGTCGAGCTTCCAACGCAGAGGGCATACATGTTTGACGCCAACGTTGGCGCCAGGTCCGCAAAGAGCTCAAGCAAAATGCGCTGCGGCGCCCCGCCTCCCTCACCGCCGGCCGCCGATCTCGGGCACTCAATGTCGAGGAAGACGACAGGGTTAGATGGGTGCGCCAGGGCAATGCCGCGGTGCGGCACCCCGAGGGGCTCCCGTTGCGTCAGTAACTTCCCATGCATGTGTCACTCTCGCTGCGTTCGCAGGAGGCGAAGGCAGAGACGAGGAGGAGGAAGCGGAGGGGCGCGAGATCAAACACCGCAGAGGGATGAAGCTCGAGAGCAGGAGGAAAACAAAATAATAATAATGACGAAAAATGAGTAGCTTGGCTGCGTGCGCCTTCGCTGCTTCGCTTTTTTTCTTTTTTTTTCTTTTTTGCTGCCGTACTGTTTGCTCTACATACGCGCTACACCCTTGACAGCAGCTCCTGCCGACTCACATGCGTTACATCGTAGCACTCCACCTGCCGCAGCCGGTACCACTCCTCGAAGGCGCAGAGCACCTCGGAGAGCTCCCTGCGGCAGCGAACCCGTTCAAAGATGCGGACAATGTCAAACGGGTCGTCGTGCTTCGTCGTCGGCAGCCAATCCTCTAACCGCGGCCCCTCCGGCGGCGCCTTCTTCTCCAGCACAAATATCGCCGGGGTGTAAAGCGAGGCCGCACGCCGCAGCGCGAGGTCACAGAGAAACACTCGCATTTCCATCGGGAGCACTTCAAACAGTGGCCTTGTGACAGAGTAGCGGGCCGAGGTGTAAGGATCCTGCAATAACTCTCGCAGCTCACGCATGGCCGTCACGCACATCTTGCCGCGTTTCCGTGGGGCACCCGGCGATGGGGCGGCGACGTCCGCGTCGTGTTCCACCTCCGCCTGCTCTGCCTCCTGCGGCACCTCCTCTTCCTTTCTTCCATAGGCCTCGGTCCACTTGCTTGCCTGCGCGGGGTGGTTGTACGCGAAGTACTGCACCTGCGTGAGCAGAACCGGCAGCACGCGTTCTCTACCTTCCAGAAGCCGGCTTAGCACCTCGACGCGCACGCGGCGCAGGTGCTCCTCCACGTGGGCCATCGACGCCAGCCCCGTCATGGACTTCTGAACCAGCGCCGCGACGATGCGGTTGTACAGGGGCCGCATCTCAACCACCAGCGTTCGCTCGCGGTGGGAGGGGCACAATCCCAGGCGAGCTGCCACCAGAGACTCGTACTCCCCGCGCACCTCCCTCAGTTTCGCCAGATACATCTCCAACATGGGCCCCCGGGCCACAAGCAGCTCCTCAAGAAGGAACGGATTCGCACGCAATCCGCCAAGAAGGGCATCCACCGCTCGCACCGTCGCCTTGACGTCGCTGGGGTACACGCGGCCCGTGCTCGTCGCCACAGATGGCGGGACGGCCACGGCGGTCGCACGAATGCATGGAAGAATCGCCGCGCCGAGGTCAACTGCCAGCTGCGCCGCCACGCGGCCAACGTACTGATAGCTCTCCAGGTAGTCCTCCATGTATGTGTTTAGGCTTCCCACCAGCTGCAGTAGATTGGCATCCTCGCCGTAGACCGAGCACCCAGCGCGGTCGTGCGTGGGCAGGTAGAAGAGGTCCTCCTCGTAGCCCGCCCCCTGGAGGGAGTCGAGCACTGGTACAAGGGCCATCTTTTCCGTCGCAATTGCAGCCGCCTCCTCCTGCTGCAGCTGCTGGTTGTGGTCGTTGGCCGCCCGCAGCCGCCGCGCCATTGTCGCGGGAAATTCCTCGTAGTTGACGTGCACCACCAGCATTGGGCAGCGGCTCAAGACCGCCAGCAGCCGCCGCCCCGACATCGCGAAGATGTCGTTGCCGCCGCCGCGCAGGTCCACCCAGCGGAGGTTCGGGTGCCCGTCGGCAACAGCCGCCAACGCCGCCACGGCGCGCGCCCCCGCCCCACTATCGCGCAGGTCGACGCTGCGCACCCACCGCATGACCGCCATCGTGCGAAGGACCGCCGCCGCCGCCGCGTCGCCCAAGTGCGTGGCGTGGAAATCCAAATGCGTTGGGCACTCCTCCGAGGTGTCGAGGGCCCTGCACACCTCAACGAAGTCCGAATTCGCGAGGCAGCCCTCCTGCTCGCATGCTAGACAGTAGAGAGTCGACAACCCACGCATCCCGCGGCGGTGTGGGAAAGCTGCGGCAAAGATGAGCCAGCGACGCCGTGCCAGTGGCGAGAGGGTGAGGCCAAGAAAAGGGGGGAAAGAAAAATAAATAAAAAAAAACGGCAAGGGAAAGGGAAAGAGAGAATCACCACCACACTCGCAGAAACCCACTCAGGCAGAGAAATTCTGCGAAGAGGGATCACAACAGCAAACAGCCGCCGCGGCAAATCACACGGGATGTTCTCTTCTTCTTCCTCGCACTGTACAAAAGACCGCCTCCAAAGACCGCACAGAAAACAAAAATGCTGGTCTGAACAACAACAATTCGTGGTGGTGGTAGCAGTAGGGCAGTAACGGGCAATGAATGTGACACGGTGTCGGCGCTCCCTCGTCACCAAGGCCTGTCACGGATGCGGGGGACGCTCGGCTGGCCGCACGTGCCGCTCCAAAGCCCCCACCACACGCTGATCGAGTGCACGAATGACGTTTAGCACCTCAGAGGCAAACCCACTCCCTGCTTCAACTTCCTGCACGTCACTGCTGAACTGTTCGTCGCGCAATAAGGAGTGACGAAGAGCCTCCTCGAGGCTCAGCGTGTCCTCTGTGTGATGAACTGCGGGTTGCGGGGCTGGATAGGCGGCTGCGGCGCCTGCGCTCCCGAGGTTGCACGGTGGCAACCGCTGTGTCACCGTCGCACCGGCAGACTGCGGAGGCCGCGGCACTGACTCTCCCCACGATAACGCGACTTGTGACCGCACCGGTGCTCGCGGCGGCAGGTGCAACAAAGCGTGTGGCTTGTCAGACGCACGTCGACGCTCAAATTGCCCTGGCGTGCACTGCAGCGAGCGCAGCCCACTTGCCAGCCGCCGCCACAAGGGTTCCCGCGCGTCACGCGGCGGCCACATCGCCGACGGGAGCGTCACAAAGGAGAGTAGCGCGCCCATGAAGCTGCGCAGCGCACAGCCCTGCGCGGACGCTTCCGCCGGCGAGGTGGCCCTGGTCGTGTGGGGCATGGCAGGAAGAAGCAAGTCCCGCTCTTCCACAAAGGCAACGTCGCTCCCTTCCCCTCCTGTTGCGCCCCCCTCCTCACCCAGGAAGTCCCCCGCTGCGTCATCGCTTCCCACCGGCGGTAGACGAATAAGCCCTCCGCGTACCAAGCAACACGTCTCTGGCGGCAAACGAATGCGTGCAGCGCCTCGTTCCCCGGACGGGATGACACCACCACCACCACGCCGCCACGCCGACTTGCGCAGTGCGATTAGCCGTTGGACAGCCAGCACCGCCACTACTGCTTTGCGTACACGCAACACCGGGCGCAGACCGATGCAGTCGCCACAGACGTTCAAAGCACCAAACATCTGCTCATAGGCAAGAACATAGCGCGTCAAGGCTCTGCGCTGCTGCGCCATCTCCCGTACCTCTGCCATGGCACCAGAGAGAACACGGAGGGTGAGAACAAGCGCCTCAAAAAGAGTCAGTCTACCTCCACCGACCTCGCCCGCGCCAGCACGCATCTTCACCTCGAGCTGCAGTGCGTCATTGGCGCGTCGCAGTTCGTCTACGTGTTGTCTCTCCTTCTGCAGCGCCTTAGCCTGCTCAGCCACCAGAGGCTCCAGCTCCTCCTCCATGTAACGCAACAGCTCTCGGTACCTCACCTTGAAGTTCTCGTGCCCACGCTGCAGCTCCGCTGAAGCACCCGCACCCACACCACTAGCTTCACTAGCAGAAGCAGAAGCAGCAGACGCAGCAGACGCAGCAGACGCAGCCGCTCGCTTGAATCTTTCGCATTCATGCCGGACCTGTTCCAGTTGCCGCTTCTGTTCATTCGTCTCACGCTGATGCATGTCCATCATGGCATCCATTTCACTTTCTTTCTCTGCCACGTACGCCTTGTGCGTCCGACGCCCTTTTTCGACGTCGGAACGCAGCTGCTTTACCTCCTTAACGAGGTCAACGATATGCTGCTCGATGACGCACCAATCACCGACGCATCGAAGCAGGGAGGCAAATTTGCGGCGTGTCTCCGCCACCTGCACCGCCTCGTACTCCTGCGCCTGTCGCGTATTCTCTAACGTCTCCGCCATCTGCGCCCTTTGCGCCTCACTCCTGAGCAACCGCTCCCGTACATCGTCCCCATCGCTCCCCAGGTGGTGCAGTTCCTCCTTCAGCGCCACAATGTGGGACTCAAGAAGATGACGCTCGCGTTGCACGGCCCGCCTCTCCTCGTATTGGCGCCGCAGCTGCTGGTGAAGGTGCCGCAGCGCCTGGTAGATGGGGCCCACCAGCTGCGTGGTCTGCCTTTGGCGCGGCTCACCTCGTGTTCGCCCTTCAGAGTCCGACGTGTTGAGTCCGTCGCCGGCCGCGCCGACCCCGTCATCCTCGCCTGCGGAAGGAGTCGCATCGCGCTCAGAATCGCCGTCGCCCCCAAGCAGCCACGACACTCTTTGCTCCATGTCTCGCTCTAGTGAGGGGGCAGAGTAGGCGTCCGCAAGACTTTCTAGACGGAGCGCGACGCGTTGCACCTCCTCCTTCACGCCACGAAGTGCATCCTCGCTGAGCCGCCGATGCCGTGCTTCGGCGCCCTCGCCAGCCGCCACCTGCCGCTCTAGCGTGGCCATTTGGGTGACCATGGCGTTCATCAGTACCTCCTGAGCACCCCGCTCCTTTTGCTCGTTATCAAACGCTTCCCGTAGCGCCTTGTTTTCTGCTTCCTTGGCGCGCATGGCTTCCTCCACGGCGGCCATGCTGCGCCACACCTCGCCCACCTTCACCTCCAGCTCGTCCCGTTCCGCCGTCACAGCACACAGTCGCAAGGAGACCTCGCTATACTCCCTCTTCTGTTGGTCCACAACGTCCTTTGTGCGCCGCAGTCGTTCCTTCACTTCGCTCAGCTCAGCATCCAGCCCCTGCCGAGCACTCCTCTCTGCAAGTAACTGACGCTTCAGCCCCTCCAACTGATCCTGCAGCTGCGAACATCTTGCCTTCAAACGCATGTTTGCTTCAAAGAGATGGGCCGCCGACGCCTCCTGCTGATGTTCCTCCGAGCCGCACACTTCATTGGCCAAGACAGGCTGCAGCTTCCCGTTCGGTGTGTTGCCAGGCGTCGCCTCCGCCTCCGCCATTTATCCCCTTGTTTGCCCTTCGCCTCCCTTGTCGGCTTTCCTTTAGTACTGTGGCTCCCCGCCGTATGCCGCGGCACCTCTACGCGGCCGAGGACACACGCTGGATATTTTCGCTGCAGCGCCCCCAACTCCCTCCTCCCCTTTGCCTTTGTGTTCGCCCGCCTTCTCCCAGCTCCCTTTCTCTCCTCTGCTCTCCTCTCTCGCAGCTTGAGCAGACCCCACTCCGCGGGCATGCACGAAAGTCACCGGGAAGGAACAAGGGAGCAACAAAAACACACTTGGAATAATCCGCCTCCAAACACAGTGGCGGCAGGTGAGTGAACAGGTTGAATCAAAGAGAGTTTGGCGAGGAGGCCGCCGGTGCATACTTGCATGCAGGCATGCATGCATGCGTGTCTGCCCCAGGTGATCGTAAAAACGTCCCCCACTGCCCCATGTCCATTTTCATGTACCCTCACTTGTTCCAACGAAGACGCTCCCGCCCCCCCGTTTGGCGTCACTTCGCTGAGCCGCGAGCGACTCCAGCTCATTTAGGAGCCTGTGGGTCTTTCCTAGGGCCTCGTTCGCTGAGTAGAAGACGTCCACCCCACATCGGTGCACCACCGCGTCCCGAATGATGCCCTGCGAGTGAACAACACTCTGTGAGTGCTCGTGCTGCCGCTGCAACAGTCGCTGCACACGCGCGGCGAGGTCTCCCTCCCGCTTCTGTATTGCATTTTGACGAGCCATCAACTCTCCATGGGCGGCCTGCACGCCCTTAGCCAAATCAACAGCGATGCTGTCCTTGGCTTCCTGCGGATAGCCGCACAGCCACCGCTTATAACCCTCTGCCGTGAGTTCCAGGAGCCGCTCCAGGCTCCCACGCTCCGCGTTCTCCACCGGTGCATCCCGGCCCTCACTAGCGTTGCTTGCGTTGTCGTCAAACCTCAGTTTGTACTTTTCGTTGGCGGCGTAAATTGCCGCCAGCACCAGGTTGGCTATCTTCGCAGTGACCACCGTTGAGCGCGGACATTGCGGCTGCTTCAGAGGGACGGCGGCGGCGGCGGCCTCCGGGAAGATGAGAACTTCGTTGACGCCAACAGCGACACTTGCCCCGGCCACGTCATACGGGAGGCGCAGAGCCACAGGCTCCGGTGCGACGGCGCCTTGGCTGACAAGCGGCAGCCGCTGGCATCCGTCTTCGCCGACGTCGCGGTACACCCAGCCGGCGGCCTTGCGCGACCAGGTTGGCCACACGCATAGATATGCGGAGTCATTGTAGCGGATGAGGGTTGCGTTCCCGCACGTGTGTAGGCCGGCAAGGCGCGTCAGGGAGAGCGTACTCGGCGGCGATGCGGCGGGCGAAAAGGCGGCGCCGAGGTGTATTGCGAAGTCCAACTGCTGCCGCATGAGATCGCGGCAGAGCAGATCCGGCTCAGTGAACCTTCCCCCGCGGAGCACGCCGGTGTTGTACATCACAAACACAACGTGAAGCCCCACGTCTGCGTCGAGCAGAGTTGAGCCAATGGCCAGAGGCTCCTCCGCGTACCCGGCGACAGCGGAGCCGCCACGCAACAAGTAATGCACACACGGAGGCAGCGAGGCGTCGCCTTGCCGTCTGTGCCCTCTACGCAGAAGAGTCTCGACACAGCCGTCGTATTCCTCCACCAAGAACGTCGGCAGACCATCTTTGTTAATTTTTATGGAAAATATGTCCCCACCGCGGGTAAGCACCAGCAGCATTTCCGGGAGACTCAGGGACGCAGGGACGACGCACATCCCAAGCGGCAAACTGGGACCATCGTTTCCGCCCATCGTCGAATCAAACTCCGCCGACACTGCTGTCTCCGCTGCTTCACGTGTGATGACCGGCCGTGCCTCTTCTCCCGCTTCCTCTGTCTCTTCTTCCCCCTCCTCCATTGCTTCCTCTACCTCGGTTGCCTCCTCCGCCGTGCTCCTCTCCAGGGATGAGTTGCTTGCGGAGGCGATAGATCGCGTTGATGCTTCTGGCGATGATGAGACCGACACCGTTAGCGCCGCTGCTGGCGGTGTTGTCGCACCGTGCGTAATTCCGGCCGGAGCCTCGTGCTCGAGTGCCATGTGGCTTGCTGTTGCAGTTATCGGCTCACGCTTGCGCCCGCGCGGTTCCTCCAGCTGGTCCATTGCCACAGCGCCGTCGCCGTTAAGGATACAGCGCTTGTGCTCCGTAATAATCTCATGGAGCGGCACCTCCTGCCTGTCTTGGAAGACAACCCCCAGCGCGACGGTGTCGGCGCGGAACAGGAGGAGCGTCCCTGTCGCCAGGAGAAGCATGAGACGCCGGGGGCTTGTCGGGTGCCACGCCACGCCCATCACGGGCGCCACCGTCTGGAACTCGCAGACTCGGGCGCTCAGCACGTCGACCAGGTAGTGCCTCCACCGGCCTGTGCTGATCGCGGCCACCAGCTTTCCGTCAAGTGAGGGGTGAAGGCTGTGCCGTACGTCTTGTTGAGGGCCGTCCGACGCCGCTGCGCCACTCTCCGCCGCCTGCCCGCATGAGGACGCCGGTGCGGAGGCGGTGTCACTGTGTGGGATGAAGCGCACGCGACGCGCCAACGGGTACGGCGTGACGCGCTCCTCCGTCAGTTTGCTCGTGACAAGAAACATGTTGTCGGTGTTGTCGCGCGTGACAGCCATAAACGTGTCATTCCCCAAGTGTCCCGCGCCGTTAGAGCGCATCTTGTCGCTTGACTCCTCTGCCTGTTTCCCTGCGTTTTTTTGTTTTGTTTTTGCTGCACTTTTCCCTTTACTGCGCTGCTGGCGTCGATGGGTGTCAAATTGCTTCAATTGCGCTTTGCCCTCCCCGCCGCTCCGCACACACGCACGCACGCAGACGTTTGGTACGCCTCTTCCCTTTCTCACTCCCTACCTTGCACGGCGAGATGCCAGAAGCAGGAGCAACAGACACAGCAAAGTGGCAAGTGTGGGAGAGAAGCAGCGGCAAACAGTGCACCTCCGCCCAGCGCGGGAGTAGTGTTGGGTGGGCGGTGGCGATGCAGCAATCCGGGCAGGCGCGGCAGGAGAGGCATCAAGGGGGCGGGGGCAGTACAGCCGTCCCAAGGAAATACATAGAAAAAAAAAGCACACAGGAACAACAACACCAACAAAAACGCAAAAAAGGGGAAAAAAAAGGAACGCAAAAAAAGCAACGACAACAAAAGGAGGAAAGCGTAAAGAGTAGCCTTTCTGCTCAAGGTTTTTTGTCTTGTTTTTGCCTCTCCACTTCGGTTTCCTCCTCTACTTTCCTTTCCCTTCGCCTTTTGTCTCGGTTTTGTCTGTCGATATCCTTCCTCCCTTCCGCGGGCGCTGGCATACATTGAACCTGTGAGAACAGGAGGCAGGGGAGAAGCGGCGCCGTCCCCACACAATGAGGGGCCGCCCCCGCGCATACATTACGGCGACGCGCAGGCTGAGCGAGCCAGCCGTCGGCGCCTGTCGCTACTCTCTTCGCGCGCAACCCCCTCTCTCCCCCGCCCCCACTCTACTTACATGGAAGCCTCTGCACCCTCCCCTGTCCTTCTCGTGGCGTCCCCTCCACCACTACCACCACACCGCGCCCACGCCTCCCGCGCACTCCCACCCGCACCAAGGGAGCACGAGGCATCTCCCACCCACGGCAAAACGAAAAGGGAAAACGTGGTTGGGGTTGGGGCAAAGCAAAAAAAAAAGCGGCGAGGCAAAAAAGTCAGAGAGAGAGAAAAAGCAACAAAAAAAAGAAGAAGGGGAAAATGCGATGAAGCACATGCAGCGAAAAAAAAAAGCGCCATCTTCGTTCTTTCTTCAGCATACAAGATAGAGGACCCATCAATGGGCGACTCGGACAGGCGGAGGTGGGCGGAGGCAGTCACGCGTCTAACTTCTACATGACACACTTGCTCCATTATCACCATCCACAGCCAGACTGCTTCTTTCTGTTTTTTTTCTTTTGGTGGATATATTAACAGACATATATATATATATATATATGACAACCACATACATCGTTGAAGTCTAGCTTCTCCACTGGTCAGCAGTTTCCATTGGACCGCTCTGGTTCTAGTCCATGATGTCGCCCGAGGGAATGTCGTACACGGAGACCTTAATGTGGCCGTCCACCGACGGCGGGCGCGGGGGCACAAGCCCGGCTGGGCAAACGTGGCGCATTAAGCGCGGCGGCAGTTTGTATGAAGTCGAGTTTGTCGTCTCAAAATCACGATTGTCGGGCAGCGCCGCGCGCTCCGCCGCCTGCCGGTCTCTTGGCGCGAAGAACGGCTGCTTCGGTGGAAAGTCCGCTGTGTAGGTTGCAATGGCGTCAAACGGCAGTGCCTGAGCGAGTGATTCGTCGCCGCGGAAGGATTTGGGCGGCTTCGGCATGAGCCCGTCATCCAAGCACCTCTTGATGGGCTCTTGCATTGCCCCGTTTGTCGTCTCATATAAGCCCTTCAACTTGGGCAGGGGCTCCTGCCTGTAGCGCACCCGCTCATGCTCCGGCATGTGACCCGGGAAGTCGTTGCGGTGCGTCGTTGTGCCAGTGAAAGGCAGCGGATCGCCCAGCGCCGTGCGCGGCTTAAAGGAGTCGGCGGGCCGCACTACTTTGCCTTCGAGCGGCTCCCACGCCTCCTGCTTCGTCGTCTTGAAATGGCCTGGCTCCGCCCTCGTCGGGAAGACCGCGGCCCGGGTCCTGCGCAGCCCCTCCCGCTCCGTGCTCTTTGGAACGTACTCGTCACGGTACGTTGTCTCACCAAAGAAGGGAAGCTTCACATCCTTGCACTTGTGTTTACCACACTCGCAGATGCGACAGACGCAAGTGCGACCGTCTCCGTAGTCCAGGCTCGCAATCGAATGAAGCTGCGTCATCTCTTTACTCACGTGGTCTCTTGCCTTCCTTCTGGTTTTTTCCTTCTCTCCCCCTCTTTTTTTTTTGATTCTTGCCGCTGCCGCGCTTGCGACACTCGCTTAGCTGCCCTCCTACTCCAGTCCCACATCGTGCGTGTGTGTGGTGGGAGGAGGGAGAAGAGAAATATACATGCATGCATATAATAATGTTATACATACACACATACACACACACATATATATATATATATATCATAACAGAGAAAGCGACATCTTACGCATCACGCGCACGCACACAGGCGCCCCCCACCCCCCACCGTGTTGGCTCATTCCTCCACTACACATGACGCATGCACATTTGTTTACATGTCTTTTTTTTTCTTCTTCTCGTTTTTTTTTTGACCTTGCGCGCGTGCGTAGGCGGGTGGGTTGTGGGCGGTGCCGGCCGTCCAACGCCCGTTCCTTCACCGACACGGGCCCATCTACATCAGCCCACACCGCCGACGCACACGCAGGCGCAATGTATCTGCACATGTATGTATATATGCCGTGCTATCGCCGAAGTCTTTGCTGCATGCGGACCAAGCGCGCTGTGAGTTCCGGTAGGGACATGTCGTCGAACGGCGTGGGGGGCTTCGCGGCACGCCGTGGCGGCGCCATGCGCCCGCCAAACGCCGCAAGATGTCTCTGCACCTCCTCCTTCGTGCTGACGGTTTCCATGTGCTGCGTGCCAAGCGCCTTGATGGGTTCATTCGACGAGGCATGCGAAAAAACGGACGGCGCGCGCGTTGTTTCGGGGGGCGATTCCTCCCTAAAAGTGGGCATCTCAATGGCGTCTGCGGCAGCAGTTTCTTTCTGCGCATCTGCCTCCGCCTTGGAGGCGCAACGTGTGTGGTGGCGCTCGATGCCGTCAATGTACTGCTCCCGGTCCCGCACCGTCGCCGGGTCGCGCCTGGGCGGGGCGAAGAGGTGGCGTCGCTGCGCCTTCTCCTCGGCCTCCTCCACCATCCACGCGGTGCCGCTGCCGATCCACGGCGGGTGGGCGTCAGCGGCGGGCGGGCGCGGCACGATGCGGTGACGGTCAACCCCCGGCATGTACGCGGCACCCGCACGCCCCTGCGGCAGCGGCACGCCCTTTGAGGTTGGCTGCATCACCCGCCCGTACGTCCCGCTGCCGTAGAGCGGGCCGCCGTGCACGACCGGCGTCGAGAGCTCCTTTAGCCGCTGCTGCTTTGCGGAGATGCGACGCTTCTTGGACTCGAGCGCCTGCTCCGCCTCGCGCCTGGCCGCCTCGGCCTCCGCCGCTAGCCGCTCCTCTTCCTCTTCGCGGCGCCGCCTTTGCGCCTCCCGCTCCGCCTCCGCCGCCCTCTGCTGCTCCCGTCTGCGCAAGATGAAAGCCACCCGCTGCGCGTCCTCCTTGCGGATGGCCTCCTCGTTGTTGAGGAACTGGTGGGTGAAGAAGAACTCAAACCGCGGACCCCCGTAGCGAACCATTTTTTTATTGTTTTTTTTTTCGTTTTTATCTAAACCTTTTTTTCCTCCCCCTCGGCTTCCCGGCGCCTGCTCCGGCAGACCCCAAAAAAGTTGGACGGGGAAAAGACGAGAGTAGCCGCAGAGCGACGAGACGAGAGCCGCGCAGGGACGCCGCACCACGGAGACAAGCGGGAGACACACACGGAAAAAAAAACCAACAACACGCACACACACACACACTTCAACCCGCCGGTTCGTCTTATCTCCAGTCACCCCCGTCTCTCCCTTCTCGCCCCTGCCTTTTCTCCTGCACCGCCGCTGCGGAACCCACACACACAACAGCCGTCGAAAAAACGCTAGACTTCTCATCCCCTACTGACCCCCATAAAAGGCGGCCAACTGCGTCTCAAGCCAGTGGCCGCCGTCTGCGTCTGCTCGCGGCTGCGACAGTCCAATGACTTCCGCGGCGGTCACCCCCTGCAGCCACTTATTCGTCGCGGTACAGAAATACTTGTAGCTATCACCCAAGAAAACGCCATCAAAGCAAACCCAGCTTTTCCCAGCTGCCTTCGCCAGATGCTGTGGCCACTCATATGGGACGATGTATCCGCAATGCAGAATCGCACTGCGCTCCTTGACGACGGCGTCCAGTAATTTTTGCTCCTCCTCCTCCGAGGAAGGCGGAGCACCACCAGCCACCCCAAACAACCGTTTTCTTCGCTGCATTGGCACATCCCACCACAGCGGCAACACCAACACGTAGTCCGCAATGTATGGCGGGGGCGACGGTTTTCCTTGCTGCATCGCCATCTTTCCCTCAGCACACTGCATGTCACGAACGAGCCTTGAGAAGAGCCGTTCACAGATGTCTTCATCGTACGGCACATCAAGCGTCAGCAGCAGAGGCTTCTTTTCCGGATTCACCTCAAGCGAGTTGTAGGCGGCCTCAACGTCAAACTGGAGCGCACTACCAAGGCTGCCGAAGTAGCAATCGGTGTCAGGAAACGCACTGCAAAAGTGATTGGGTGTGTTTTCAGCTTCGAGAGCCGAGGCTTCCTTGCCGCTGCCCTCGTCTTCACAGCCATCCTCGCCAAGGGTGCTGTGGGAGCCAGCCTTGGGTGAACCCATGTACGCATTAATCGGGGAGGCGCACAGGTCCATCACATGGTAGCCAGCGGCGTGCAGATGCTGCTTTAGTCTGGTGTCAGCACACAACTGCAGTGACCCCGTTGCCAGGCATCCTTCGTAGCGTAGGGCAACCGCCGCCGCGCGAAGGAGAAAGCGGCTGTCATGGTCCAGTCTGGGGTATCGCTTAGCCTCTGCCGTCTCTGAAAAATGAGTGTAGCACATTTCAAGCTTTTTGTAAGCGAGCAGCGGGAGAGAGACGGGCGGGCAGCTGTGCCTCGCGTGCTTCGGCCACTGGGCGCTAATCTCCGCAACGGAGCCCTGCACCCGACGCTGCGAGGCCGTGCGGCTTCGCTCCTCCGCCGCGTCAATGATGCGCAGCGAGGGGACGCAGTACATGGACGGACTCGTGGAGCTCAGCTCCCGCAGCACCGCGGCCGCCGCGTCCTCGCAGCGCTGCGACAGGTTAAAACGTGCGAGTAGCGCTTTGACCTCCGCCACAACCTCCGCGCTGCCGGAGTCCTCACACTTTAGCGAAATATCGCGGATGAGCTGCTCGTCGTACGTGCCGCCCGACAACGTGGCCCGTGTGGGGAGGAAGGAGGGGGACGCTGCGGGTTCTTCCGTGCCGCTGCGTGTGTCGCGGGCCACCTGCGAGAGGACCCACTTCCCCAGCGCCTCTTGACTGTGGCGCCAGAGCTTTCGCGGCTCAAGGAAGTGGAGGCGCGGGGAGGCCTGCAGCGCCTCCAGAAAGTCGCGGCGAATGGCCGCCCACTTCAAGAAGGTCAGCACCTCGCGGTGAAAACACAAGGCGGGGTGGGCGGGGTCCAAATCGCCGTCAACGCCGTGCCGCTTCATTTCCGTCGATATATATCTATCTCGCCCTTTTTTTTTGTTTTGCTCTTGTTTTTGTTTGTGTGTGTGTTTTGCCCCCTGCTGCGAGGGAGACGGGGGAGAAGTGCGAATCACAGGGCCAACGCGTCAAGCGCCACAAAAAAAAACCAGAACAGAAGAGAAGAGAAACCGCAGCCGGATGGCCGAGGTGCGAAAAGCCCCTTACCTCCTCCTTGTAAAGGAAAAGCGGAGGAAGAGGAAAACGAACAACAACGCAATCCGCCTCGGAAGCCCATTTTTGTTTTGTTGCCGCCTTGGAGACCATCGGGCTAGTGACGTGTTGCCTGCGCCGCGACGTGTATGACGTCCCAGAGGTTTGTGAAAATGGACCCCACGCTGTCCGCGATGACGTTTGTGATGTACTGCGCCGCCTGGGCATTTGAGAGGTCCAGTCGCAGTTTGTCCTGCACCTTCAGCAAATTCACGCGTGGGTCTACCTTGCCGTCACCCGATATCTGCGGAATAGAAGCATCCACCATGAGCAGCAGCATGCTCAGAATGAGTGGTGCGTGTTTGCGGACAATGTTGTAGGAACTGCAGCAGTAAAGCTTGAACTCCGCGTAGCGTTCGCTCTGCGGCCCGCCGAGCGTCTCCACCATCTCCTTGTTGATTTTCATCGGCGGTGGGAAGGGCTTCGGGTCGTTGCCGAGAATGTACCCAAAGTCAATGTGCAGCAGCCTGCCGTCGTGCGTTACGAGGAGGTTCTCCAGGTGCCTGTCGCCAATGCCAAGAATGAAGGTGAGGACGCAGTAGCCGGCGAAGCTCTTCGTAAAACGACAGAGGGCGGCCTCGTACTTCTCAGCCGTCTCGTTATGTGAGCGGATGTACCCCGCAATGTCCCGTTGCACGCTTTGAAACGTGACGGTGTTCGGCACGAGCTCCACGAGCCCCTCCATCGGCCCGGTTGCCAGCACGCGGTAGGGACTGAGACAGAGATCCAGGCCATCCTGCCGCAGCATGGCGTCAATGAGCTGCACAAGCTGCACGACCAGTTGATCCTGCCGCACGTCGTCACCGCTCTTGAAGATAATCCCCACCTCCGATGCAGGGGTGACAAGTGGAACAAAAGTTGGGCCCGGCGAGTCGGCAGCCTCCGGTGCAGCCGTGCGGGAGCCCCCTCCGCCGCCTGGGCGGACAATGAAGGGGACCTTCATGGGCATCTTGGCGCTCTTGAACAGGTAGAAGCCGTCGGAGGTGATGTTCTCCGCGACAAAGCAGGGGTGCGTGGGAAGTGTCACGGCGCTGGCGCCGTCCGCCGCCTTGCCGCCACCCCGCGCCTCTGCTGGAGACGCGAAGAGTTCGTGTATGCCGCACTTCTTCGAGTCGATAAGCGTGGTGGCGAACTCCATGCGCCGCACGCGGTCCCGCGGGTCCTTGAGGATTGTTCGGTACAAACAACGCAGCACCCCCGTCAGCTTCACCTGCCGGCGAAGGCGCTGCAGAAAGTGTGGCTTCACCTCCTCTACCGCAACCAAAAGGTGCTGAAGAAATTCGGCGTACCGCTCGCGCTCCTGCCCGTGGCGGCTGTCGGGGGCGGCAGACCGCTCCAGCAGGGTCTCCACGTGGACGTACCAAAAAAGGGTGGAGCACAATTCCCAGCAGCCCAACGCCCGCCGCACGAGAAATTGCTCGAGCTCGTCCTTCACGTCGTACCGCACGCCCTGCACCAGCTGCAGCAGGAAGCGGAGGAGGTGGTCGTCGGAGTGCCGGGCCAGTAAACTAATGGCGTACCTCCGCACGTACGCCACCTCGCGGAAGTAAAAGGAGACACACACTAACGCCTGCGAGAAGCTAATCGGTTTCCATTGCTGCATGACTTTTAGGGCCTCCTGCCGCTCCGCCTCATTGCACCAGTTGACGCAGCGCATGAAGAGCACAAAGTACGCAGGATCGCGCGCCAGGAAAAAGCGAAATCGCCAGAGCAGCAGCTCATCGTCCACTTTGAGACCCTCCAAGTGAATCAGTGGCTTGTGCAGGATTTCTTGCAGTTGGCGCCGCTCCACGGGGCCCGGCTGGGCCTCTGCATCCGCGTCGGAGATCAAAAACAAGGACTTAGACAGGGCGTGCGCCTTCGCCTCGCAAAGGTTTTCGTCACCCACGCAGAGGTCAACGTAGGGTCGCGTTGGCGTCGTCGGAGGTGGCATAGACGGCGGCACGGCGGGCAGCATGTTCTGCGGCACGGAGAGGTGGAAGACCGGCAGGCGGCCCCGCAGCAGCGGAAACAGCAAGGAAAGCGTCGGCGAGGCGCAACCTGCGGCGACCGCGGTGCGGCTCGCATCCTCCCGTGCCCCGTGCATCTCCGTGAGACGCCGCTCGACGAGTTTGTCCATCCACGGGACGGCCTGCATCAGACCATCGTGAAGGTCCCGCGCGAGCAGCTCCCACTGCGGTGGCGCCGTTTCACGCAAACCTGCGGCGCCGTCAGTGCACAGCCTGTAACACCGCGGCCCCGTCTTGAGTCTTCCGCTTGCCGTGAAGGGGTGAAACGTTTTGTCGCCGACGAGGCCGTGGCGGGAGTACACGCGGCACTCCACCACCGCGTCAAGCGGCACGTCGCAGACGGCGATGGGGAATATGATCCACTCCTCGAGGGCGCAGGCGTCAGTGCGGGTGTGCGAGGACCGCAGCAGCGGCGTGACCGGCTGCCCCATGTGCAGCATCTGCAGCGTCACGAATAGCGTTTCCGCCCCGCCGCGGCTTCGCCACCTCCACCGCCGCCGCCGCCACTTTTCGCCACCGAGTTGCACCGCAATGCTTGGCTTCCCACCCTCCGCTTCTTCTGGCAGTTCTTGGCCTTCTCCCTTCCCTCCCTCGCCGTCCTCTTCCTCCTCCTCGTCGCAATCGCTGCGCCGCGGGCTCCACCCGCCAATCGCGCGGAGGCAAATCATGAAGTAATCCTTGACGTCATTGGCGGCGATGAACTCGCCGCTCGGCGGCACCCAGTGGAACGCGTCGTAGTGCTTCCGCTCCCGCAGGGCGTGGACGACGTTACTTTCGTTGGTGGCCATCCGACCGGGGGCGCGGCGACGTTCGGCGACCCCCCTCCCCCACCGGCAGGCCCTCTAGAGAAAAGATGGGGAGGGGGGAAGAAAAAAACAAACAGAAAACAGAAAGAGGCGCAGCGGCAGCGGGACGGCAAAACCTGCAGGGGTGGGAGAGGGATGCAGAGACGAATCCAATTGAATGCAGTGGGGTGTGTCTGCCAGAAGACGCCGGGAACTTTTCCTTTTTAGTTGCTTGCGTGCGTTATTTTGTACGTCTCTGCGCCTTTTTTTTTCCTTTCTCCTTCTCCTCTTACCGGCAAGCGTCTACAACAATTCCAGTTCACCTGCATTTCCTCCCCCCACATCCACCCACCCACCCCCTCTTACGCCTTCTCTCCCTCTTCGTTTCTTCTTGTGGGGCCCTCCGCACGGTGCGGGCGCGCGGCGGCTGGGGGGCAGCTCTCAGTACCCCGCCTCGTGCACGAGGTGAAGGTACGAGCCCGCCACCGGCCGGCTCTTCGTCGCCTTCGCCGCCGCCACCTCTTCGCTGCCGCCGGAGCCTTTGGAGGGCGGGGGGGAGATGCCCAGCATGCCGTAAAGCGCGTCCCGCGCGCGGCGCACCGCTGCCGCCTCGCTGGCGTCCCACTGGGTCGCCGCGAGGTGCTGCATCGCGCCTGCGCAGCCGGCAGACGCCTCGACGGAGGAGAAGAGGAGCAGGGCGGTGTACATGTCGGTGGCCATCTTCGCCCGGACTTTGGGGTAGCGGCTCGCGATCATCACAAGACTGAGCCGCCAGGCCCCCACACGTGCCTCGGGCACGCCGCTGCGGCAGAGGTCCCCAAGCACGCCAACGAGCGGCAAAAGCACGTGAATGCTGGTGGCGAAGTGCTTCAACTCACGGCGGAGCAGCTCCACCACGTCCACGTGGCATGACTCGTCGAAGACGCCGGCGACCATGAGACGATTCATCGTGATGCACAGCGGCACCACGACGCGCTCGTTGTGCGTATACTTCGCTGCAACCTCAATCAAAGCATGCGAGAGGCGCACGCCATTCTCTACGGAGGCCTGAAAGCCGTGCAAAAAGGCATCCATCGCGGGTTGCATGATGTGCAGCGAAAGCGACCCAGCGGAGACCGCAAGCCCCTCCACCACACATGGCGCAAACAACCCCGTCGCTAGCAGGGGCCGCGCCAATGTCGTGAAGGCAACCTGCGGCAGCGACCATTCGGCCGTCGTGTTTTCGCAAAGGACATTGTGAAGCACCGCGATGTCGGGTGCCCGCTCCTTGTCTAGTAGCACGGCGGGGAGCTGAGCGAGCTGCAGCAGGCTGTGCACCGCCCGCCCACGGAGTCGATCCAGCTTCTCCATGGATTGCTTGAGGAGCGCCTGTACTACGCGGAGCGCCAGCTGCGGACTACAACAGCCGCAATCCACGCCGTACCGCACAACATCTGGCAGGGCATCAATGGCCTCCAGTCGTACGAAGGAGCCGACGTCGCCGCGACGGTCTGCGGCGTAGTCGTCCATGGCGTGCAGAATATGCTGCACAGCAGATTCGTACAACTCGGGGGTTAACTGCGGAGTCGACGGGGGAATGCGGAGCATAATTTTTCGCAGCGAACGCACCGCGTTGCGCCGCGACTCCGCGTCTTGCAACTCTTTCCGCTTCTCTGGCCTGGTGCCCTCCATGGTGGCACGGAGAAGCAGCAGAAAGTACGCCGTCTCCCCCTCTACTGCTGCCGCTGGTGCTGCTGTTCTTGTGAGCGGGGCCGCAGAGATAACGCTCCACGGGAGGGCGCCCATGGCGAGAAGATTCCCACGGCGCTCCATCGGGTTGCGCCCCTCCCCGCTGCCGTCCAACATCTTCTCCAGCACCTTGTGGTGGAAGGGGGCCACGAACTCGGTGTAGTACGTCGCCGCAAACACCTCGTACGCGTCAGCCGCCTCGAACTGCAGCCACTCAAGGATCTGCTTCCACGTGTCTTCAAAGAACTCCTGCAGCTTCCACAGCGTTTTGGCGCGCGCCACGGCGCCCCCCACCCTCTGCACCTCCACGGTCTCCGGCAGACGCAGGCGGCGATGGGCGACGGCGGCGAGCAGGCGGCAGCAGGCCTGCCGGACGTACTCCCCACCGCGAGAGCGGAACAGTCGTGCGGCATCCACGCGGGGCGTCAGCGCGGCAAAGTGAAGGAGAACTTCTTCCGGCCACGCGGCGGCGTCTAGCGCCTCAATCATCTCCGCTATCCCGAGAATGGCACCGTGGCGCGTCGCCACCGAGGTATCTGTGACACGGCGCAACAGCTCAGGAACAATTTCGCAAACGGCCGTGTTTACCTCCAGCGTGGAAAGGAGGCCTAACGCCCGTGCCGCACAGCAGCGCACGCGTCGATCCCAGTGCAGGAGCTTGTTAGCCACAAGCTCCTCAAGCATGCGCCCCCTGTAGGATGCATTCTCCGCCACCAATGGGGCAACATGCAGGTAGGCGTTCTGCAGCGATGCAAGCGAGAAGAAATCCATCGTCGTGACTAGGCGAATGCCATCCGGGAAATTTCCAAGGCGTCCAACGCACTCCTGGAAGGCCGCCGCCGCCGCTCGCCGGACGTGAACTTCTCTGTCAAACAGAGAGGTGACGACGAGGCTCGTGCTGAGACTATGCACATACGCCTCGATATCGGAGGCATCGTACGCGCGGGCAATGGACCAACAAGCGTAGCACGCGGCATCCCGCACGTGCGAGCCGACGCTGTAGGTTCCCTTGATCAAGTCAAACGCCAGACCTTGAGTGATGCGGGGAAGCATGGTGGCAAGGTGCTGCGGGTGCAGGATGCTCCGTCGACACAGCTCCGCCACGGCAAGCAGTCCGCCATGCCAGCTGCTGTCGGAATGCTCATTGGCGAAGACGTCTAATACGGCGGCGATGACGTCTTCCGCCATTGCCCGCGGTAGCCGGTCGCAAATGCGGCCAATGCCCTTCGCCGCGCTCCAGCGTACGACCGTGTCCTTGTGGCTTAGGCTCACAAGCATCAGGCCAATGGACTCTTCCAACCCCTCGTCGTTTTCGACCACCGCCTCGTCCTCAGACGCCGTCTCCAGCTCCGCTTGCCCCTCCGCGGCGCCACGACGGTCGCCCTCGCCGGGGGAGGTCGCATCCGCACAAACGCCAACTCCAGCAACGGAAGACTCGATGACGGCCAAATTTTTGTCGAGCGACGCCACGTGTCTTTGATATTTCCAGGGGGCCGAACGACCCCGCAACAGGGCGAGCGCCAGCCGCTGCTCCACCTTCACGGCGGCCTTCGACACCAGCGCATCACTGCCGCGGGACTCCAGCACCCCGGCGACGACTGGGATAAGCCCCGGTGCGTAGGGCGCCAATTCACGGCGTTGCCCACACTTCAGCGTCTTTGCGAGGGCGAGGAGCACACCATGCAGCAGAAGACTACCACTGGCGGGGTCTGTGACGGCGTCCTTGGCGTATGCAAAGAAACGCGCCCGGTGCGCCTCTCCATCCGGCCTTGTGAGGAGGCGTGCGACGAGCAGCGCAGCCCCCTCGCGACACTTGGAGGTGTCAGACAAAAACGCCATGGCCGTCTGAAGTACGGCGTCGGAGAGGGATCCACCGCGGTCGGCGGAGTCAATGATACTGAGTGAAAACGGCACAAGCACAAGGTTGGAGAGCCACAGCAGCAGGCAATAGCGAACCTCCCACTCACGACGGTGCTTGACACTCCGCTGCCACAAACGCAGGGCGTAAAAGACATCCTCACAGTGTCTTACATCATTGGAGAAGTAGGAGGTACAACACTTTTCACCAGCTGTTTTCACGACGACGTAAATGGCGCGGCTAACGTGGTGAATGGCCGACTTCGGTGCATCTGCATCATACTCGTCGTAGTTGGCACCAAGTTTGTAGTTAGGCTCCTCCTGCGCCGCCGCATCGTCCCCCTCTGCCTCCCCAATGCAGGCTTCCATGCTCCAGACATCCGTAGCGGCGGGGAGAAGGCCTTGCAGCATCGTTACAAGCGGCCCAAGCAGCAGCTCCAAGTATCCATGCAACAGATGCGGGGACTCCTGATAGCGGGCGATGATGCGCTCAAGGCGGTCTAACGCTGCCGCCACTCCGTTTGGATCTTCGGCGACCGTGGGAAGAGCCAAGTCGCGGTCCTCCTGCAGCTGCAGGGTCTCTTGCACCCGCGCGAGGATGGACACGCAGTCCTCTTCCTCCTCGAAGAATGCGGGGCCCCAGTCGTCTTCGTTTTCTACCTCCGCCCCCTCCCCGGGGGAAATACCGTCGGCATCTTTAGCATCCGGCGGCATCGTCGCGGCGGCGGCGGCGGTGACTGGGTCCATTTCTTCGGCTTCGTGGTTCATCCTGACAGTGTCACCCCTCTTTGGGCGTGGGCGAGAATAGTCCTCGAGTGACCCACTTGGGCTGTGTTTTTGTGCGCTAAAACGAGAAACAGAGAGAAATAGCTGAGACTCCGGCGCGGCGGGGCGGATCGCGGCAATCACGGCAGGCAGCAAACAGCTTCTTCTCGTTCGCTAAAGGCGTCTTTTCCTTTTCTTTTCTCTCCCCCACCCCCCGTCCCAGTGACATGAACGGACTTGCCCAATAGCGTTTGCGAGAACTTGACGGCAAGCGACATTACTAGTTTCGTGTCCTCCTTCTCGCCGTGCTGCACAGCGGGTGGTGTGGAGATGCAATAGAAGTGGCGTGGGCGCCCAATCCACAGTAGCGCGAGAAAAGGGAAAGTAAGCATCACCGCCCATTTACTGGAGTGGCATACCCAGCCGACACCCACGCGACATCTTAGCAAAAAAAAAAAAGGGCGTAGGTAACACGTGACAGGGGAGACGTGTAATAGCACTCATAGAAGGATTAATTTTATTCCACTTTAGTCGTAAGCGAGAAGCCGTGGATGAGGGGAATCTCGCGCTTAAGCGCTTCATTCACCAAGCGATGCTGCTGCACCAATGGCTTTCCGCAAAACGCCTGTGAGACCACAGTGATGTTGAAGAAGCTCCCACATCCGCCGCTGGCGTCAACTACCCTGACGTCCTGCAACGGCTTCAGTAGCTCGCTGGCTCTGATCTTTGCTTCAAGGTCGGACGCCGTGATGGCTCTGCACAGTCGGCTGGCGCGCAGCATCTTTGTGGCTCCAGCGACGGCTCCGGGCACCACCAGGAACAAAAAGAGAAAAAAGAAGGACACGGAGGGCGAATCAAGACCGCACGGAGACACTCAGAGACAGTGTGCGTGTGAGAGAGAGCGAGAGAAAGAGAAAGAGGGAGGGAAATAATAAAGAAAACACATGTATACTAATTATAAAATACAAATGAAATACGGCGCCGATAGGAGAGGAGCCGCGGCGCCCTCCTCCCCAGCAACTCCCAAATATCATCATCATCAGTAGCAAGTACCGCAACGCGGCAAGGCGATTTCGGCATGCATGGGATTCCCACCCCACGGCTCACTCCACTTTCTTCTGTCTTCCTCGACCAAGGAAGGGAATGAAGAATGAGTGGTAGTATAGTAGTGAGGGAGGGAAAAAGGAAGGGAAAATGGAAAACGTGCTCCCACCTGGATTCGAACCAGGGTTATCGGATTCAGAGTCCGAGGTGATAACCGCTACACTATGGGAGCCACGCGCGGGGAGCGGCGCCCCACTGGAACGGGGTACTGTCTTCCTCCTCTTCACCGCGGCCCGGGAACAACTACGACTGAGGGCCGTGCATGCGGCACAACCGCATAGAGGAGGAAGAGACGGCCGCGACCTTTTTTCGCTGGCGTAGAAAAGAAGGGGGATGCGAACTAACAAAATAATAAAAAAACAACAACAACAACAAAAGGGGAACAGACAAAGAGCAGTTTAGTGTGTCGGCGCTGTCGCGCCATCCCAAGCAGCTCCAACGCCGTCTGGGAGGCGACACAGGGGGATAGTCGTCCCTCACCAACGCGAGGCGAGGATGGA